GTGTGTGTGTGTGTGTGCGAGTGTGTGTGTGTGTGAGCGTGTGTGAGAGTGTGTGTGAGTGTGTGTGAGTGTGTGTGTGAGAGTGTGTGAGAGTGTGTGAGAGTGTGTGAGTGTGAGAGAGAGTGTGAGTGTGTGTGAGAGAGTGAATGTGTGTGTGTGTGTATGAGTGTGTGTGTGTGTGTCAGTCTCTGTTGGCATCCAGTGAAGGACAGACTCGCCGTCTCACTGTAAACACAGATGATGATGATGATGATGATGAAGATGGCAGCGTCTCTCACTCGTCTGATCCGGCCGAGCGTTTCTGAGTCCGCTTGCGTGGAGATTGTCTTGGAGACGCTTTATCTGAGAGAAACAGACAGACGTCAGTCACGTGATCAGATGCGAGTCACATGATGAAGATCAGAGCACAGAAACATCAGAATCCAGACTGAAAGAAGCGCTCACCTCTCCGACTCGCCACTGAGCACACAAGAGGAAGAGGAGGAAATAAAGAGAGAGAGCAGCGTGAGAACAAACACCATCAGACAGGAAGACCACACCATACCAGACACACAGATGATCTTCATCAGTCTCAAACTAACTCAATAATCAGTCGAACCCAAGTCATTTAATCAGCACATGTGCACAGTTCTCTGATGTTTACGCCACATGACACACAGCTAGATATTTCAGCGTTTTCATTGTTTTATTTTGATTGTTTAAAGGGATAATTCATCCAAAAATAAACTCTGTCATCATTTCCTCACCCTCATTTCTGCTGAGCACAGAAGCAGATATTCTGTGGAATGCTGGGAAGCTGACAGCATGTTCTGTGGAAGTCCATGTTTGCTTCCCAGCATCCTTCAAAACATCTCTTGTGTTCGACAGAAGAAAGAAACACATTCAGGTCTGGAATGACATGAAGGAGAGCAAACGATGACAGAATTTTCATTTCATTTTAAAATAAATTTAACTTTTTATATAGGGCTGCACCACTTTGCAAAAAAAAAAAAAACATATATATAAATTAATTTGTCATTTCAAATATATTTTTAATTTATAATATTACATTTTTATTATTAATTATTATTAGTTTGCCCTCTAAATATAACATATGAAGACAGAACTATATTACTGTTTTATAAATTGTAATTGTACTTTAAAACAAATAAATGTGTGATATTTTACATTAAATGTTACAACACTAATGTTTCACTCTCAAGCTTTTATTTTGGTGGAACATTAGTGAAATGCAGTGAACTAAACTAAACTAAAATGTAGCGCAAGAGACTATTTAGTTCTTAAATTCTAATTTAATCCATTTAATCAAGCCTTTTTTGAAACCACAATTTGAAAAGGCTATTCCAGTTTTATTTAATGAACTGTGCAGACCCATCTGTTATTTTAATTCATTTAATTTAACAGTGTGATCTTTGGTGTGTAAAGCCTGCTGTGATTGGCTGACACTCACTGATCTGGTTGAGTGTTTCCTGTGGGATCCAGCTCATGTCCACGTCATTGTGATTGGAGGTTCCCATCTCCACTTTAGCTGCTGGCCGTCTCCTCTGTAACACACACACACACACACACCAGAGGCACTGAAGCACAGATTCTGACAGCAGAGTAATGATGAAGAGCAGCTGATGATGATGATGATGAGCGTCTCACCTTGCGTGACTCGAGCAGCTGATGAAGGCCGACCACCAGCAGCAGGCCAAGCCCCGACAGAAACACGTACAAGAAGATCCTGCACACACACACACACACACACACACACACAGTCACTCACAAGATCA